GGCGGGTGACTAGATAGAAGAAGAAAAGGAATGACATGATAATATGTGAGGGCAGGCCCGTAACAGTAAGGTTCCGGGTTTACCAAATCAGCTCTTCAGTTCTTCTCATCTGTAAAGTAATACTATTTATAATAGATTCTACATCAAGAGATACATCTAAATAAGATCTGTTTTTGATACGGTGCGTTTTGTTGTCGACAAACACTGTGATATGAATTGGCATATCAAATATTGCTTGCTAGTCTTACCAGATCGAGTTTTTACAATCCAAGCCTTCATACGTTGAAATATTCCGAATAACTTATATATTAGTCGATTTATTCAAGCGAGATCTGTCTAATGAAGTATGTTTTCTTGTTGGCACACGTTGTAAAGGGAATCGGGTGTGGGTGTGGCTGTGGGTATTCATATTCTCTTTACGTACTACAACACCCACCCACCCACATTCACATCCACACACCCCACCCACCCCACCTACACTCACACACCCCACCCACACTCACACCCACACTCAACATCTTATCAATTCAAGAAATCATTTGATATTTGGTGTATGGAAATGGAAAATGGTTCGCATTAGAAAACATCGAAATGCAATTGCCCAGCTTTCTTAAAAAAGTATGTATGCAAACACGTTGTGGGTATGACTATTCGTTTGAAATATTGTCAACCACCACCAGTAGCAAAGACAGTTCTAATCGATGAGAACAGAAAAGGAAAAAGATCAGCAACGGTTAAATCTGCTTTACTGATACAATAATTCAATTGTCATTTTCATTTTTTAAATTGTTCTTAAAATGTCTTTTTACTCATTATGTGGTTCTTTGATTTACTAAAATTTATTTACTACTGGTGAAACTTATTTTTCTACTGATAAATTTTGTATTTTTCACTCGTCAAAATTCCATTTCTTACTCATAGAAATTGAAATCTTCTTACTGGTACTTATATCTAATAAACTGATCATTCTACAATTATTTACTGCTACTATTAATACTGATCGTTTAATATGCACACAGATCATTTACATATTTTTTACCGATCATTTCATCTATTATACTAATCACTTAAATGGTAGCCATTAATAAATATTATTTATAAATTACAAATCAAAAGATTTTCGATTCACTTTTTTTTATCCAAATGAAAGTTAATAGCTCTAATCATTAGGCGATGATGATCAATAGTATCAACAGCGACGTGACTTTACAAGAGATAATCCAATTAATAAAGGTGAAAAATGAATCAGAGAAAGAGGATCAATATTGCATATGAATAGAAGTGAATCAATGCTGTGACGCATCTCTATTACATGTTTTGTCCATGTTGTGAAAGAAAAAGGACTTCCTTTCTACATATAAAACATATTAAAGTTGAGAAAAACCTATTCATTTGCTTTCGATTATTTCCATGTCATCCACCTGATTATCCAGTATATCTAAAAACAACATTAGTTATTCTACTATTCACAGTTCAATCGTAAGTAAACTCATGCGATATAACGACAGAAATACCCTTGTTCTTCTTTGCTTAGTCACAGCAAGATACAAAAAAAAACAAATAATCAATATGCCATGCGTAGCCTGACATCGGTCTTTGTCATTAAGGACGAATAATGTGTTGATGACCATAGTTTCAAAAACATACGAAAAGCCAATCAAAACATACTTCTTCGGAAGAAAGTATAGTATAAAGTAGGGCCGCATTCAACGTTGTCTTTATTCGAACTGTATTCATGACTTCATCATCATTTTCCACCCTTTTTCTGACTTGGACGATCTTTTCAATGGTTCTACGCTTCGTTATGACGTTAGGGGATTCGCTCAATAACAACAACAGTACAATAATTAATATGATAGGAAGCGATTAGATAGCAGTGACTGGCGGCGAAGGTTCCGTCTTTCTCAATTCAAACACAGGCAACCGTAGCAAGATTAGCGATCGTGTCAGGTGCAGCCACATCGGTCCGTTTTGGATAAACTCCATTGCTTTCAAGGAACCACTGGAGGGAAGGTGCGGGTGCGTGGAAGAGTCCAAATGACGCTTTACTCAAACGGTTTCTATGAGTTCTCAGGCTATTTCTATAATTCAGGTATTCCTCGCCATCGTGATCAATTTGTCTGGGTCATCATTGATCAACTGACGCAATCTACTTATACGTTTGAACACTCAGGCCGCATGGCTGGCACATTTAAGAGAGGTTCGCCAAACGATTCTTGGAACAAGCAAGGGTACAATGCTGCCATTGACAACAACTTTGATTCCTTGTGTGCTTCATGGTATAGTCGCTAGTCAGCATCCATCGATGGGGACCCAAATGCCCTTTTTAAAAGCATCATAGATGTTTTGGTAGGCATTCGCTTGTTCTTCTATACCATCATCCGAGTTGTAACTTAAGATCTTAAATTCAAAAAAAACCTCATTGCAACTATAGCTACAAAATTTACTATTACCGTTCTCACTCTTCTCTTAACGTGCTTTTTTCTTGTTTATTTTCTCGTCAATAATATTCCAAGATTTTTTTTCATTTAGTCCTGTTTAATATACATAAAACTCCCTAGGCTGTCTCATTTTTATTCAACGTTGTCATATATAATTTCTATCACTGCTAGGACACTAAGTATTTCGCTACAAATGCAAGAGAGAGTTATTTAATACTCAAATTCATTATCGAAAATAACGCTAGATAAGATTTTTCCGCAAAATCGAAGTGTACTCAATTCGAATTACAAAGATAGATTTTTACTCCTGTGAGAATGACTAAGCAAAGAAGAACAATAGTATTTCTGTCGTTATATTGTATGAGTTTACTTACGATTGAACTGTGAATAGTAGAATAACTAATGTTGTTTTTAGATATACTGGATAATCAGGCGGATGACATGGAAATAATCGAAAGCAAATGAATAGGTTTTTCTCAACTTTAATATGTTTCATATGTAGAAAGGAAGTCCTTTTTCTTTCACAACATGGACAAAACATGCAATAGAGATGCGTGACAGCATTGATTCACTTCTATTCATATACAATATTGATCCTCTTTCTCTGATTCATTTTCCACCTTTATTTATTGGATTATCTCTTGTAAAGTCACGTCGCTGTTGATACTATTGATCATCATCGCCTAATGATTAGAGCTATTATAGGGATGCAACAAACCCAAAGCTTTGGGATTTGAATTGGGAATTGGGATTTGGGTTTGGATTTGTATGTTTGCGTTCAGATTTGGTTTCGATTTGCATTTCAATTGAATTTAAAGGATTAAATTTGGATATGACTTGGATTTAAGTGCTTAGATTTGGATGTGAGTTTGGATTTGAGGATTAAAATTTGAAATTGGATTTGGATTTTGGGGTTCAGGTTTGGAACTGGATTTGGGTTTGGTGGTTTAGGTTTGGATTTGGGTTCGGGTTTTGGTCTCAAATTTACCAAATCTGAAAGGTAATATGTCGACGAGAGCCATACACTTGCTAAGGATGCTATACAATCAAAAACAAATTTCAGGATTTGGGACCAAATCCAAATCCAAATCCTTCGGATTTGGTTTCAAATCTTAAATCTTTTTTTTTGACTGAAGATCACCCGTTGCAAGCGTATGGTTCTTGTCGACACTTTACCTTTCAGATTTGGTAAATTTGAGACCAAAACCCAAACCCAAATCCAAACCTAAACCACCAAACCCAAATCCGGTTCCAAACCTGAACCCCAAAACTCAAATCCAATTTCAAATCTTAATCCTCAAATCCAAATTCACATCCAAATCTAAGCACTTAAATCCAAGTTATATTCAAATTTAATCCTTTAAATTCAATTGAAATGCAAATCGAAACCAAATCCCAACGTAAACATACAAATCCAAACCCAAACCCAATTCCAAAGGATTTGGTCCCAAATCCAAATTTTACTCTGGATTTGTTGCATCCCTAAGCTATTAACTTTCATTTGGATAAAAAAAGTGAATCGAAAATCTTTTGATTCGTAATTTATAAATAACATTTATCAATCACTTGAGGAGATATTGAAAATGCCGAAGTTCAACGATATTCATATACTCTGAATGAATCTTGATGACTAACAATAGATTTTAAAAGATTAGAAGTGTGACCGTATCGATTGATAAATATCCAAAACAAAAACAATAGATAAAGCTGATTTAGTGATAGATCATAATAAAAATTTTCTCAAAAAAGAATAGTCACTTGTTGCTTCATTAATCAAGATTTTTTCTGTTGTCGAGAAAAATTATGATTTGTCTACAGAGAAGCGATATGCACCTGGGAGTATACCCTCGTCAGTAAAAAAGCTTCATGTTTTGGAAGGTCAATGGTCGTCAAACATTTATAAACATTTTATGTCAGTTTACAGCGATAACGCTCCATCAAGACGTAGAACACATTCGTATCGTTCACCAGGATATAGCAAATGTGGTACCTATTTTGAGAAAACTTTAGTCATATCTAATCGGTCATGTAATATATCATACACTGCTAGTTGCAATGTCTACAGTATCAGCTATTTGTTGAATTGTAATTCGACGATCTTCGATGAGTGGATCTTCAACATCCTAAATGGCTGTTTCATCGGTCGTAGTAATTGAACATCTGGAACTGGAATTATCATGAATATGTAATTGTTCAGCTTTGAAGTGATTGATTCATTCAAATGCCATGATGCGTGGTGGATCATTATCGCCATAAGTTGGCACGAAGTGTTCATAAATGTTGGATGGCGATCGACCTTCCAAAACACGAAACTTTACTACTGAGTGATATTCAAATTTTTGATTTTCCATCAGTCTAGGCAGTGGGATCTAAAACAATTTGTCATATTATCACATCAACGTTAAATCAATTAATGATCATGGCATCGATAGATAGAGGGCTGTGTGAGCTACCAGTCAACAATAACTCCAAGTGGATAGCCTCTTTGTTTATTTTAAAATAAAATCAATTCGGAAACTTTTTGAGCGTGGGTGTAAATAGAAAAACCATAGACAAAGTTTATTGCATTTTATTGTTTTTCAACAAGGCAAAAAACTGTTTCACAGATCCGTAAGTCATAATACTACTTGATACTTCAGGTCGTTTTTCTTTGAGTAATTTTAATGCATTTTCCGGTGACATCTTTTCATTAGCAACCAAATGGCATAATACAATCGTAGAACTTCTTCCCATACCAGCTTTACAATGAACAAATATTTTTTCATTATTTTTATAAGCTTCTTTCATAAATTTGATTGCTTTTTCAATTGTCTCTAATGACGGTGCTGTACTATCTACGGTTGGTAAATGTAATTGCTTTATATTATATTTTTTATATGTTTTACGTGGACCGCTATATTCAGCACACATATTAAGAACATATTTAATCCCAATACTATTTAATGTCTCTACATCGGCAGGAATAGGCAAACAACCTAAATAACAACAAGTCGTAATTTGACTACATAATGAATTTAATGGATTATTCAATAATTTAAAGCCTATAACTAATAAAAATGCTGGTAAATCATATAAAAAATGTATTATATAGCGCCTTTTATCATTTAAATCCATATCATGTTTATTTCGAACAAAAGTAGTAAACATTAATGCATACGGAAATAAATGTTGAACTTTGTTTATTGCCATATGACGATAACCTAATAATGAAGCAATACTTTGCATGATAAGTGTCAATATAAATACATTCCATAGGCTAATAATTAATATAAATAATAATAATCGACATAAACCATAATATGAACGTACTGATCGCGGATAAGATCTATACCATTCATAAATGGCTATTAAGATGATTGGAACATAGCTACCATAAGGACTATGTATGAGATATGTAGTTAATATACCGAATAATAGGCACGATACGACAATAAGAAAATTTTTTAAGCCAATTTTGTCTTGGCTTTCAAGAAACTGTGTATCATATACGTTGCAGATTGCAATATCTTTTTCACACATCCTACATTGAGTAGCCTTGTCGCTAATTTATCTCTTTCAGTAGATTTAAGTCTTGCTTTAATCTAAAAAACTTCACTCCATAGACGATAATTCAACATCAGTCTTTGCCTTATTACTTATTATCTATTTATCCGAGTTCTTTAGTTTAAATTTTATTATTTTTGATCTGTTTATCACAAAACAGCTGAATACAAAATATTTCTTACACAACGTATGATGCAAAAGTAATGGGACAATGTCGGACCCTGCTTCTCTTCGATAGCAAGGTGCTAGAAGAAATGTTTTTGTTTCACCAGAAAATAGAGCTCTTTCGGATTGTATATAACTTATTTTTGCAACACGTTCACAAATGAAACGCCATGACAGAAAAGAGAAGCATCCTTAAAATGAATCCGCACTTTTTGAAAGATTCAGAGAAATGATACAAAATGCTGATTCTTATATTTCTTCGATAAATAGGTTCTGAAAAACATATTTTTTATCAGTCGATAGAAAATTTTCTCCTTTATCAAACAGTGTATAATTTATATTTGACAGATATTCGTAAATGAAATGAGACGAGAAAAAGAGACAAACAAGTGCGAAATAAATTCGTCATTTGTACATGAAGTTATCAAAAATATCTAGCAGACAACGGTTAATTATTATTTACTGTCGCTTTATAAGATGTTTTTAATGAGTTCACAAAAAACGAGTTCATGGTTGTCTAACGAGATGTTTTGCATAAATTCATATACAAATTACGAATTTATTATGTGGATGTTTGTCTTTTTTCTCATCTCATTTCATTTACGAATATCGGACAAATATAAATTATACACTGTTTGATAAAGGAGAAAATTTTCTATCGACTGATAAAAAGAATATTCTTTTCAGAACCTGTTTATCGAAGAAATATAGGGATCAACATTTTGTGTCATTTTTCTGGATCTCTCAGAAAGTGCGGATTCTTTTTAAGGATGATTCTCTTTTCTGTCATGGTGTTTCATTTGTGAACGTGTTGCAAAAATAAGTTACATACAATTCGAAAAAGCTCTATTTTCTGACGAAAAAAACATTTCTTCTAGCACCTTATTATCAGCGAGAAGCATGGATCGAGTTTGTCCCATTACTTTTGCATCATGCGTTATGTTAATGTAAATTAATAAACTTTTATTGTCCTCTGTGTGTGATTGCAGCCGTTCTCGTATTGTCGCTGTCTTGCATTCATCCTTTCTCTCTTCTCATTCATCTCTCTCGTATATAAGCTCGTATCGCATGTAAGATAGATGCATTTGGAGAGGTATACACTTGCAGATCGATTAGAGCTCAATAAACGTCATACCATAAGGTGCAGACCTCGTATGCCTTTCCATTTGTCACAGCGATTGGAGTGATGAAGTAGCACAATAAACATCAATACTGAGTGTGAAGATACAGATACATCATCTTTTCGTTATAGTGATGTATCTTTATGAAGGCAGACATTGATGTGGATAAAGCACAAGTGTTATCCGAAGAATGAGCAATCTATACAGATAACAAGTGTAAGCATTTTTTGGTCAGAATTCGCGCAAGTAACCGAGTTTCCATGGAAATTTTATGCCTATTCAGCTTTTTATTACAAAACATTGTCTAAGACGCTACAATAAACATAAACATTCTGCTGAAATTTCATTATTTGCGCAAATTCTGACTGAAACTTGCAGATATTATATGATAGATCTATATATACTGTTCCTTTTCCGATGAAATTTGCGCTTTATCAACATTTTTGGCGACTCAAGCAGTATAACTATTTATCATAGGGAACGTACAAAGAAACATGGATAAAATAGTACCATGTGTGTTCAGCTTGGAAACTACTTAGAGTAGTGGTGTCCTCTTCCCTCAACCATAGAGAACTTGTGTTTGTCTTCAGCGAAGTGGAAAGATTTGCTTACCTTCTATTGAGATTTTCGTAGTGATTCTTCGCTAATATTCACCCTATATCATGTGAACGCTTTTCAGATATCGCTAAGGATGGATATAGGCTTCTAGGTATAATTGAGATCGATGCTNCATCTTTTCGTTATAGTGATGTATCTTTATGAAGGCAGACATTGATGTGGATAAAGCACAAGTGTTATCCGAAGAATGAGCAATCTATACAGATAACAAGTGTAAGCATTCTTTGCTCAGAATTCGCGCAAGTAATCGAGTTTCCATGGAAATTTTATGCCTATTCAGCTTTTTATTACAAAACATTGTCTAAGACGCTACAATAAACATAAACATTCTGCTGAAATTTCATTATTTGCACAAATTCTGACTGAAACTTGCAGATATTATAGATCTATATATACTGTTCCTTTTCCGATAAAATTTGCGCTTTATCAACATTTTTGTCGACTCGAGCAGTATAACTATTTATCATATGGAACTTACAAAGAAACATGGATAAAATAGTGCCATGTGTGTTCAGATTGGAGACTACTTAGAGTAGTGGTGTCCTCTTCCCTCAACCATAGAGAACTTGTGTTTGTCTTCAGCGAAGTGGAAAGATTTGCTTACCTTCTATTGAGCTTTTCGTAGTGATTCTTCGCTAATATTCACCCTATATCATGTGAACGCTTTTCAGATATCGCTAAGGATGGATATAAGCTTCTAGGTATAATTGAGATCGATGCTAAAGTAAAGTAAAACTTCTGATGTTCTCAGGTGTAGTCGAATCATTAAGAGTTGCGAGCTTCGATGTTTTGAAACAATAATACGATACTCTTAACTTTTAACATCATGTATGGTATAAGTAGTAGTGTGGCTCATGTTACCTGGAGTTTTTATGGGCAAAGCCTGCGCGAGCGATGGAAAACTGAAAGAGTGTATACCTTCAATAATTGAAAATTCTCCATTCTTCTTAGTAATAAGTGCGATTTTTCCGAACATTCCACGCTATCTTTATGAAGTGTCTTCGAAAATATCCTCGTACATAACCCCAATTTTCGATCCATTGAGCGGCTCCTGTTTATATGGCAAAATTTGATGAATTAGTTGAGCGTCACAAAGGAGTGTGCTTCTTATTTTCTAAAAAATCTCTGACAGACCTAGAAAGCTACTATAGGAAACATACGAAGAAAGACCGAGCCCTCTTTTAATCCTCTTTTTGTTTGCACTAATGGTTCTCTAAAAATTTTGCGGAGAATTCTTTTCCCTTTTCGTCTTCAGAAACTTCGGTCACCAACCAGTGGTTTATTGCCAAATTCTTTTCTTCTTTATTTTTCAGCATTCAGAAATGAAATCTCCAAGATAGACTCTTCATTTTATGTGCTTCAAGTTTGAAAAAATTCTTTGAATCTCCATATAGCACGGATGTGATAGAATAGATGGCGATCTCAGTATTTTGTTGATAACTCGGACAGTTTCCATCATTCTGATCTGATCTTTTTTCCAAATATATTCACCATGTAATTCTGCACAAGACGGTATAATTTACTTACCTAATACATTTTTCTCTATTTCAAGAGCAATTTATTTGAGCAATTACGTTATCCAAAACTTTCCAAATCTACAATTTTTCCGTAATTTCTCGAAGCCAGCATTTGTACTCTTAAAGCACTGTGTTTAGGGACGCACCGGTTCCGGTTTTGACCGATACCGGTTCCGGTTCTGGAACCGAAACCGGAACCGTGCATCCCTAATTGTGTTTTTCTTTGTAGCACTTTTGCGGCTCATATTGTGGAGTCATCCACTCTAAGTAATTGTCTATAGTAATCTAGTAATAAAAATGAGCTGTAAAAGTGCTACAAAGAAAAGCACAGTACTTTAAGAGTTCAAATGCTATCTTCAAGAAAGAATGAAAAAATTGTAGATTTAGAAAGTTTTGGATAACGTAATTGATCAAATAAAGAGCAGTCATCCTATTCTTAAATGTTGAACATTGCAGAATCAGTTCCATCCAATTTCGGGAACTCCATCATCATTCAACAGAAGAGACCTACTGGAGATTGATGGAGTTCCGTGAATTCTCAGAATTCCGAGAACTAAGCCCACACGGAATTAGTTGAAATATAAAGGAATTCAGAGCAATTCCGGAATAGGTAGGAATTCCGTCTCCACTCAATTTCCGGAATTCCTTTCCAGAATTACTTAATTATTTAAGAGGTTACTCTCCAAGCACAACAGAATACGTGAGGGTGAGGGCGAGAAATAATTTCGGTACAGGATTTCGGAGTTGAAAGCATTTCCCAGAATTCGAAAATCGGAAGAAATGCCTGGGAATTTCCAGCAATTCCGAAATTGGAAGAAGTTCCATGAATTCCAATGAATTCCGTTTCAGTCAAATTCTCGGAATTCAGGTAATTGCCGGAACTCGATCAATGTTGTTTAGGCCTGTGTTGTAGCATGTTGATCGAGTTTCCGGAATCGGAGGAAATTGATTCCGGGTGCAGAACTGATTCTGCAATGTTCAACATCACGGAACAGGATGTATTCTTCAAATCAACTGTGTTCGAGAAATAGAGAAAAATGTATTAGCTAAGTAAATTATACCGGCTTGTACAGATTTACCTAGTGAATATTTTTTGGAAAAAAGATCAGATCAGAATGATGGAACTTGTCCGAGTTATCAACTATGTACTAAGACTGACATGTATTGTACTCTACCTGTTAGATCTATTAAGTCAATAGCAGAATACGATAAAATGTGTAGATCGTTGGTTCTTTTTCTTTTATGCTAACAGACAAGAGGA